TCTTCCCCTGCGCAGCACAGCCCGCGGCTGCCGGTGTGCAATGAGCAGAGGTGGGGACAGGTGACAGTATCGTTACATGGCTGAACACCCCCTGAGCTGTATTAGGAAACTTTCCAAACTGGAATTACTCAGATTTTAATAAACCTTTTGATAATTTTCCGTTATGTTTTGGCCAGCAGATGAAACTGGAGGTGTTCCAGGAGAGCTGTCGCGGCATGTGGATGGGCCAGTTCGGCCCAGACATGAGATGAGGGCTTGTCACAGCCAGGAGTCAGGCAGTTGGATGGCCACAGTGCCCTTGTGCCTCGCTGAGGGTGCTTGTGTGGTTGGGACCACGCAGCTGCTCTGTGTGCCTCCCCAGGAGGCAGAGGTGCTCCCAGCGGTATCTCCCAGAGACGTGGGGGACACAGGGCCCAACTCTGCACCCTCCAAAGCAGCAGGATCAGCAGGAGAAGGAGAGCACTGCACAGAGACTCGAGAGGCAGAGCACCTTTCCTGCCGTCAGGACAGGAGACATTTCAGTGAAGAACCTCACACTTGAGCTGTATCAAGAAGGATTTTTCAACAACCCATGGGAGAATGGAACAACTTTTTCCCCATGACTTCCTCAGGAACTGGCTGAGTGCTCCATTTCGGACCATCTCCTAACCCATCAGCCACAGTTTGGCTCTCCAACAGGCACAAATCACTCACCTTCTGGCATGTGGAGGCCACTGGACGAGACCTCAGCTCTGGGGAGACACACGAGAACTTTGCTTTGCCCCTTTGGAACAACTACGCTGCCCCAGCGGAGCTCTCCAGCCCAGTTTAGGCACGAGTCTGCAGAGGATCTGCTCAAAGCTGGCAACTACCACAAGATGTGCCAAAGGAAGGTACAAATTGCAATGCAGAGCATGAAAACCAAAGACACACCACAATTTTATTTACGGATGTGTAATAAATAAATGGTGGACAAAACAGGAAGAGCCACATTCAAAAATCCAGATCACTAAAGTGCTTTTAGACATAAATATAGGACGACCAAGAAACAGCTCTGACATTAACACTTTTTACAGACAATTACAAAATATCTTTTTATGTCAATTCACAAAATTGTTTAATTGCTCTGGGGTACTATGGCTTGGTTTTCAAAAAGGTCTGTTCTGTTATGCATAGTATGGCAGATAACATTCAAGAGTGTACAAAATCATTGCATAAACAAAAATGTCTTTACCCCCTTCTCCCAAATGTGAGTTAAGGAAGCTACACAGTGTAAATCCAGTGATAAGGCTGCATTGGCAGGCCAGATCCTCAGGAGGTATAAACTGGCGCGCCTGTCAGGCTACACCAGCTTGAGGATGAACCCCACCGTGTTTAAAAACCCTGCTGCTCCTTGAGGTGGAAGAATTGTGTGTTCAAAGCGGAGGGACTTGCCACGCAGGCGCTGGGCAGGGGTGCAAGTGCTTAGAGAAGGCGTCTGTAAACTCCTGCGCCATCTTTGCGCCCGCGTGTTTGAGAAGGGAGCTACTCCCATTGCATTGCTGTTCTTTGTGCTCCTGGCTGGCTGGGGAAGCATTCACAGCCCAGAGGGGAAGGGCGGCTCTTCCCCAGCAATGGCCCATGCTGACCACAATGCGGTCTTGTTTTTGCACTGCTCTTGGCCGCACTGGGGCACCTCTCCCTCCCTCCACCCTGGCTCTGCTGAGAAGTGAACACCTTAAAAGTGAGGGGACAAGGGGATGCATGTGCCCAGTTTTAAAATGCCCTGAATTCAGATAAAAGTTCAATTATTTAAGAAAAAAAATATATATCAATAAATATTATTATTATTATCTCGCCAGGAAGCTGGTGAGGTCTGGCCTCCTCTGGGGCAGCCCAAGCTCAGTGGTCCCTGTCCTTCTGCTCCGTGGGGGTGTCCCCGTTGATGCACTGCCTCAGTATGCCCCTCTTCTCGTGCTTGGCTGTCCTGGAGAGGTCGATGGCTGTGTCCTCCGAATCTTTTGAAGGGCCAAGCTTGTTGGAGCCCCTCTGGGAACTGGCCTGTTTCCCTTTGAGTTCCTCCTCCTCCTGCTCCGCTTGCCAGCCATCTGCCAGCTTCTCTTGGCTCTCCGCCTTCCTGCTCACCTCCATGGACTTCTTGTGCATGCCTTGCAGAGGGGAGAGAAAGCAAAGCCAAGGGCGTTGGTTGCTTATTTCTGCCCAGGAGTGCTCAGCATCACCTCCTGCCCTCCTGCTGCTTCCTCCAGCTCTCGCTTGCATGCCGGGGAAGACTCAGGCTACCCGGAGCCCTGCCACCTGCTCTCTGCAGCCCGACAGGATGGCTTGCGGCAGAATTGGTCTGCACCTCCCCTGCAGCGGGGAAGACTTACAGGGAGAGGGGTGCTGTGACGGCCCATCCCACCCTGGATTTTGAGTGCCACCTCAGTGTAGGACCGTGTAGGAGCAGAAGGTAGCTCCGAGGCAGTGTTAACATTATCATCAGTTTTGAGGGGAGGGTGATGATTTCCTAGACGCCCTGCAACTCCCACGCTGGCTGCTAGCGCTAGGAAGCAGTACCTAACCGAGCGCAGGCACCTGTCTGACATGGCAGTTAAAGGTTTTCCCTTTCCCAGCGGTTCTTTGCAAGGAGGGAGCGGAAAAGCCAGGGCACTTGGCAGCCTGCATACAGCTCATGGCCGAGGCCCCGTTCTTTTCTGGGGAAAGGCGAGGACAGCCATATGAAAGAGGAAGGGCCGTTCGCTCTGCACCTGCCCCCCAACACCCCCAGCCCCAAGCTCCCGCTTACCCAGCAGCCATGGGGCGCAGGATCCCACCAGCCCGCTCTTGGCGGAGTTGATGATGGACTCGGGCAGAGGGATGGAGTGCCTCACCATGGCCCCGTAGAGGCCGTACTCGGCCATCACGCTGCTCCGGCCCCAGCACTTCTCCCGCTTCCGCCATTTGGCTCTTCGGTTCTGAAACCAAACCTTCAGGGGTAACAGCCAGGAGAGCACGGAGGGGTGGGATTGGGGAGGAGACGGCCCCCGCGGCCGGTCGTACAGGGCCCGTCGAGCACGGTGGAGCATGCATCCAGGGCAAAGGGGCAGCCGCGGGGGTGCGTGGAGGGGTTTGGGTATGCAAGCGCAGGGTGCAGACCCGCAGGTGGCAGCAGGAGGGCGGCCAGCGCGGTGCGTGGGGAGGGAGTTGAGGAAGGGCACACATGTGGATGTCAGTGAGAGAGGGGAGGAAGGGGGGGAGAGGGAGCACACGTTACACGAGGCTGATCGTGACACAGGAGGGTGTTCCCAGCCAAAGTCACCCTACGCTCCACCTGCCTGCAGGGCCCCTCTGCTGCCTCCGCACAGAGCACCAACCTCTCCAGAAAAAGGGGTCCCTAACGCAGTGACCGATGATGACAGAGAGTGCTCAGGTCCCTCTCCCCACCCCTGTCCTACGTTTGAAGGCTCAAGGGGGGGTTAGGTACAACCTGGCTGCTGCCCAGACCACCACCCTGTTCTTAAGCCATGAGCTGCTCTGCAGTGGGGCAGGATCAGGCCCTAAAATACCATGTGTCCCTTCAAGGGACAAGCTAGTGGGACACAGCTTAGCCCAGCAGCTCCTGAATCACGCTCAGCTCCTGCCTGACCCGGGTCTCCGGAGGACAGAGCCGAGCTGCTGGCAGTGAGCAGCTGTTGGGGCCAGCTCAGTCCTCCGGTTCTGCATTT